ATTAATTGCTCTTCCTGTTGCGAGAAATGGCCTACCTAAAATTAATTGTACCTCAGTATTTTCTTTCATTTCAAGCACTATAAAATCTACTGGGAATACAAATTTGTCAACTCTGAAAAGGATATTTTCAATAATTCCTTTTGGTCTCTTAGTACTTTGATCAGCTAATTGAAGAGACACCGGTATCTTTCATTTCACCATGTTCTAATTTCCTGAAAATTGAAAAAGGCATTAGATTTATTGAAGCACCTGAATCACATAACGCCTTTTCAAAGTGAGTACCTCCCACGGTACAAGGAATTGTAAAACTTCCCGGATCACCAAGTTTCTGAGGAAGCTTATTTTGGAGTATAGCACTACATTTTTCTGTAAGATTAACCACTGAAACTTCATCCAATTTTCTTTTACTTGACAAAATTTCTTTGATAAATTTAGCATATGAAGGCATTTGCGTCAAAGCATCTGTGAAAGGTATGTTAATGTAAAGTTGCTTTAAAATATCTAGAAACTTTGAAAACTGTTTGTCAAGCTTTTCTCTTTTCATCTTTTGGGGAAAAGGGAGAGGTACAGAGTGAGGATTTGTTATCAATTCATTTTCTTGTACATTTTCCCTTTATTCTTTTGTTCTTTTGGAAACTTAGATTCCATTTTATTCTCACCTTCATTTATGTTTTCCACTTCTTGTGGCTTTCTTTCTATATCTGCATATGGATCATCAAGAGATTTACCTGATCGTAGAGAGATGGATTTGAGGTGTTCTTTTGGATTTTTCTCAGTGTTGCTTGGTAGAGCACCTTGAATTTGTCCAAACATCAGGGTTGCTAATTGGCTTACCTGAATTTCCAAATTCTTGATAGCTGAATGTTAACTTTCAACCTTCTCGTCAATAGCCTTAATGAATTTATACATCATGTCTTCAAGGCTTTGTTGATGAGTTCTGTGGGGCTGCTGCTGATATTATTGAAAATTTTGTTGCCTTCTATTTTGATTTTGAAAACCAAGTGGTCCCTGTACCTGCTGCTTTTGACTAAAAAATCTTTGAGGATTTTCAGCACCATTAGGATTACTCCATTGAAATCCTGGATGTTTTTGTGCCATGGGACTACCAAATGAGTAATTATTTCTATAACCAATCACATTTACCTGTTCCTCATTTTGTGTTGAAGATTGACATTCATGATTCGGATGATTACCTTGACAAACATCACAATTCTCAAATTGGGACGATGAGTGAGCACCTACATGAAAAGCCTCCACTTTTTGTGTTAAAGTTGCAATTTGTTCTGTCAATGAATTCAAAGCTTCAACTTGATTTGCTCCTGCCATTTTTTTGATAATCATTCTGTCTGAGAGCTATTGAACAGCATTTTTCGAAATCTCATTAAGCAATTGCATTGCTTCTGTAGTAGTTTTTCCCATTATTGACCCTCCTGATGTTGCATCAATTACATTTCTAGCAGAGGGTTAGGACCGTGATAGAAAATATATAAAATGTCAGGGTCTTGGATACCATGATGTGGGCATTTTCTTAACATTGCTGCTAAACTTTCCCATGCCTGGTATATAGATTCAGAATCTGTCTACATAAAACTATTGGTTTCTTGCTTCATTTTAAATATTTTTTTGCAGGTGAAAAATATTTATTAAGAAATTTTTGGGTCATTTGGTCCCATGTTGTAATGGAACCTCTTGGTAGGCTTCGCAACCATGTTTTGGATTCACCTTTTAATGAAAAAGGAAAAAGCCGCAATCTGATAGCATTTGTTGTGACTCCATTATACCTGCAAGTTTCAACTAATTCAAGAAAATTAATTAAATGGGTGTGAGGATCTTCACTTGCATCACCGGTAAATTGACATGACTGTTGAATGGTTTGAATCAAGCCTGTGCGAATTTCAAAGTTGTTTACTGCAATTGGTAGTCTCCTCACACTTGATTTTCCTTCAAAATGATCTGGCCTTGCATAATCACGGAGTATTCTATCACGTCGTGGTGCCACCTCATCGAACTATTCTTCCACTTGATGTGGTGGGAGATGGTTATTGAGTTCTTCGTTCTCCCTTTCCTCTGATGTAAAAATTTGAGATCGTGAGGTTTGTTCTTTTCGCAACAACCATAAGGATTTTTTAATTTCAGGATTGTATTTGACCAGTTCTCTAGAAGAGGAACAGGTCAAACACTTTCTAAAATTTCTGCAGAAAAGTTAAAATAATTAGACAAAAAAATCTCAAATTAGTAGTAAGATAATTAATCTGTAGTAGACTTTAGCCAATCCCCGGCAACGGCGCCAAAAATTTGACGAGTGTCTAGCGTATATAAATTTCTAACTCGTACTCTGTCAAATAATAGTATAGAAAGATGTCGAACCCACAGAGATTGGTTTATCTATTCTTCAGACGTTTCTTGTTTCAATTACTATTTGAGAAAATCAGAAAGACTTGAGTTGTGAATTAGCTAACCAAAAATGCACGAATAGAGCAGTAGAAAATATTTTATTTTTCACAAATACAATAAAAACGTGTTGGGATCTTGACTTCACTTAATATTTCTATTATATAGTATAATTATTATTCCTCAATTTCTATTTCTCAAAAATGTATAAATATCTCTCACGATTACAAATATATATTATTACTCAAGTTGAATAATTAATTGCACTCCTCTCGTTTATACAAATTAATCTTCAAAATAGTAATATTCAAGAACCAGAAATATATGATTGAACTAAAACATGCTCTTGTTAGTAAGTCCCTTTCGGTTACCCTACTTGTTATAACTGATTATTACACTATTCGCATCTCTCGACTACAAATAAGTGTACAATTAATTATAACATAAAAGAGATAGATATTACTGAATAAATATTAACATCTATCAATACTACAATTAACTATATTATTTCTTCCGCCTCTCTCGATTACAGAATTAATAAACAGTTAATATGTAGTACAAGATAGATAGATATTAATAAATCAAATAACGTCTAACTGTAAAAGCAGATAAAAGTTAAATAAAATATTTTAGCCCAAGCATGTGAATTTGAGGAATAATATCTACTATTATATAGAAATATTAAGATCCGTCTTTCTCTCAACATAAGAAAAGTTACTCCATACTGGAATTAGCACTAACAATGGAAAAATTCTTGTCCATTAAATAAGAAAATAGAAAAAAATATTCAAGAAGAATAATTCCCCCTATTTAATTAAAAGCAGGAACTAGAGTAATTTCCTACACTGAAATTTATTTAGAAACAACAACTAAACCACTATTGTGATTTAAAATTAAGGATAACTCGATACTAGTGAAAGAAATAAAACAGAGAAGCTTATTGAGAATTTGGATTCAGATTCTAGCTCTAAGCTTTCTCTCTAAATGCGATACGTTCTTCTGATCGGGCAACATCTTCTTATATAAGAAAAATTCATGATGACTTCTCTATTTGGTGCTAGATTTCCAAGGCAAATCTAGATTTTGCATTTGCAGACCTGAGAATTCGAATTCTCGATTTGGTGCTAGATTTCCATGGCAAATCTAGATTTGAATTTGCAGGGAAGAATTCTGTCATTCTAAGTTTAGAGTTCATCGATTTCATCATGGCAAATCGAGACTTGGTGCATTGTCACGGCAGTAATGAATCATAGCTCAATCGTACACTTCTTTGTTGTATTTTTCTTGAATATTTATTTTTCTTTTTTCATATTGCGCACAACAATTCTTCTATAATTATTCCTGCAAAATAAAGTTAAAAATATGGAGGAAACATGATAATTTATATGTTTTTACGAGAGAAATTATTTGGTTAAAATCTGGTAAAATGCACTTATCATCCCCACATAGATTGCTCGAGCCCCGATACAAAACATAAACGCATGTATGACTATTTTTGACAAGAATAAAGAGAAGTACTTTCCTTGCAACCATCTAATGTCTTGGAAAAATTTCCACATTACAACCACATACTTTCGATCTATTATGGAAACGAGCCCAAGGGCCTATTGCAACCGGAGTTCGGATAATCACTCCAACACTCGGGGACCGTCGTCCATAAAATAAACTCAAACAAATCGAACTATTGAACATCAAGGGCATAAGACCTCTTATGCAACCCTCGAATTTTATAGGCCACGGCCATATCCACTCGGGGACTGTTTTCTTAGGAAAGGCTACGGCCAATTTAACACGGTTCAGAGACGTCCGAAATCCGTAACAAAAATTGGCCTTCGAAAAAGAAAAAATGAAATCTGTAACAAAAATTGTCCTTCGAAAAAGAAAAAATTCTTTCACAACCGGTTCTAAAGGCTACCCTTGGCAGAATCATAAACTTAAGATACTTTTGGGGGAACACTTCGATAACATCGAACCCCGATAATGCCTTAACCAAGAAAGGAAATAAAGGCAAGGTTTTGTTCGAAACCTCGAACACAACCTCATTATCTCATGATAAGGCATTACAACCTTTGTGAACACGAATGATAAAACAAAGGAAAAAATTTGAAAGCCGAAAAGAGTAAAAAGCCTTATATATATGTTTAAACGATCGTTTTACAAAGGCCCGATCGGCCAAATACAAAATTTAGAAATGCCTAAGGGCTACTTTTACTTCGAGTTCGAGAAATCATTTCACTCGACTAGAAAGCCTAAGGGCTACCTTGTTTCGAGTTCAAGCCGCTCCTCACTCGATCGTTAAGCTTAAGGGTTACATATACTCAAGTTCGAATAATCATTCGGGGTCCATCGATTAGAAACGGTCGAGGTCAATACTTATTATCGATCCTTATTATCTCGATCTTGGACCTTTGAATGCAACGCCATTTTATGGAAACATTATAAATTTATGCTAAGGCATTCTGACCTTTGAATAAATTAAAAAGACGACAGACTCAGATGATGGAAGGGAAAAAGCTTCATATATTCATCAAAAACTTCTTACAAGGGCAACACGGCCCGATGGAAATTCTTTACAAAGGCCGGACTGACCTCAACAGAAATTCAAAAAACTATCTAAAATCCTGAGTGGCCTGGTCGTCTCCGGGAGAGGTATCTCCGCCTTCGGGGTCTTCTCTACTTTCGGATTCGCTCAAGCTCCCAGAGTCGTCGTCATCGTTGGGGTAAGCTAATATCCAGGCTTCATCTTCGAGCTCCTTAGCACTCTCAATCTCGGTTGTGAGATCAAAGCCCCGAGCATGGATTTTCTCGAGGGTCTCCCTTCGATATTGACATTTGGCGTGCTCGGCGACTTTCTCTGCTCGAACTTGAGCGGCTTCAGCAACCTTTTTTGCTCGAAATTGAAGCGGCTTCGACGTTGGCCTGGTAAATAGCCACCACTGCATCAGCATCGACCTTGGCTGCCTTGACTTCAGATTTGGCTGCTTCGAGCTCCGCGACTAGATTCTTCCTATCAGAAACTGCTGAACCCAACTGGGACTGGACCTCCTCGACTTTCTTGGCCTGCACCAAGATTTCCTCTTTCATACCTCGGATCTGGTTTTCAGCCGAGGCCAGTTGGTCCCGAGAAGTCTCCTTCTCTGAGACCAGGCGGTCCATTTTCTCCCTCCAGCCTTCGGCCTCGATTTTTAGTGCATCAGCCTCTTCACGGAGTTGCCTGATTACGTCAAGCTTTTGTTGAACCTGCGGGTTGTAACCATTAGATACCAGCCCGAATCGCTGTCACTAACTTCAAATATTCTTCTTACCTACTCGACCAGTTCAGCATGGTCTTTCTGAGCCATTTCCAGTTCAGTGCGGAGGCCTTTAGCTTCCCCTTCTCTTTGCTCGCTGAGAAGCTTGAAGGCATCCTTTCCCTCAGTAGGCTCTCGAACCTCAGCCTCATATCAGCTCCCCCCGGAATCAGAGGAAAGCCTCATGATGAAGTAAGGAATCCGACAAAAATAGAAAAGAAAGTTATATAAAGGGAGAAAAATCTAAATATGAAAATTGACATCGGCATGGAGATTTGGGATTACCCGGTTCAGAGCTTGTTGAGTCTCGTTGAATAGACAAGGTGTTTCCACCTCATCCATTTTGGCTTGGTCTTCTTCGGTGACCAAGCATTAGAGGTAGCTAGCCACTCCTACGGGGTAGAGAGAACCTGATCATCCTCCGAGACCGAGATGACGATTGATCGTTTACGCCCGTGATCGATGCTGGGGGTCGGGAACTGGTCTGTCAATTTAAAACTCGAGGAGGCTTCATTCGAGCCCTTCCTCGGTACTTCCAAGTCACCCAGACCGGTGACGTCTTCCGCTCCTACAAAGTAACCACGGAAAGGGTCTTCGGCCCCATAGACCCCTTCCCTGTGGCAAGTTTCCAGCGCCTAAGCATCCTTGATCGTTGAATCGGAGAATGAAGGCAATGAAGGGGAATCGCCAATCTCTATCGCCCCAAGTAAATCTTTTGAGGCATCGCCTTCATCTTGGGGGGCCTCAGACGTGGTTTTTACATCAGCATCTGCCGCCTCCTTGATAACCTTCTCACCTCGAGGAGAAGCGATTTCGGCTCTTTCTGGCTCAGGGACTTCGGCCGAGGCTTCCCCCTCTAGCTCACCGAATCGAGGCGGAGAAGTCTCAACTCCCGCCGGCTCGGAGATTTTTTTAGCATCAACGCCGGCCCGCAATCGGTCCACTAGCCCGGTTTCTTCTTCATCCTCTTCAGGCTCATATAGTTGCCGACGGACTGAGTCCATTGTTAGAGGGATGACATTTCCCTTACGGGTTCGCCTCTTTTTGGGTTTCTCGTCATCCAACTTCGTGGAACTCGGAGCCCCTCGCCTCTTCCACTATTTCTTCTGCTTCGGACCAGATGGTTGGGGAAGGTTTTCTTCATCGCCAGATGGGGGCCTCATTGGCACGTCCTTCCCAAGACCTGCAAAAGAAAGACGAGTAATAACGAGAAAAAATTTGAACAATGGTCAAAATTGTCGAGTCATAGAGGAAAACGAAAATTTACCATGGTTTCGGGCCTCCCATTGACCATACGCCAAATCACGCCATGCGCGCTCAGTATGTGTCGATTTTGATATTAGGCTCCTGACACAGTTCTCGAGTTGGGGAATCGCACCCGACATCCAGGCAACGGCTGCACCAAGTAAAACGACGATAAGAAAGGATGAAAAAATGAAGACAATAAGCAGAAATTAAAGACGGAGTTATACTTACGTCTCATATTCCATTTCTCCAGAAATGGCATACTCTCGGCCGGGATCAAGTCCGAGGTCTTCACTCGGACAAATCGGCCCATCCAGCCCCAGTCCTTGTCCTCATCTATGCTCAAGAAAGGTGCCTTAGAGGCCCGACGTTGAAGCTTTATTAGTCCCCCTTGATAGAGTCGGGGGCTATATAGGCATACGAGGTGATCGAGGGTAAAGGGAAGCCCATCGACTTGGCTCACAAAGAAGTGGAGCAATATCACTATCCTCCAGAAAAAGGGGTGAATCTGACCGAGGGTCACGTCGTACTTCTTGCAGAAGTCTACAATGACCGGGTCCAAAGGACCCAATGTGAAAGGGTAAGTGTAAACACTTATAAACCCTTCCACATGGGTAGTGATTGACTCCTCGGGCGAGGGCACCACCACGTGCTTGTCAACCTAGTTGCAGTCCTCTTTAACTTGGTCGAGGAAATCACTGGTGATCGTACATATGTACCTCAACATTGGCTCACATCGAAACCCGCAACCGAGGGGGTCTTTTCAACCTTGAAGTTAGAGTCAAGGACGACCCTCCGGGAACGAACTCTTGAGGGCATGGCTCCGTCGTTGGTTGCTCGCCGACCGGCCGGGACGAGGAAGCAGCTTCCTTTTGCAGAACAGTTTTTGAAGTCTTAGCCATTTTACTTTTGCGAGTGAAGAAGAATGAAAGGTAAGGATAAACGCTTGGTATTTTGTGATGAAAGAGGCAAAGAAACACCAAAGATATGAAAGCTCGGAGCTTTTAGGTAGGCAAAGGATTTTGGAGATTAAGGCAAAGAAAATTTGAAAGTAAAGTTTAGGCAAAAGAAGAAAGATACATTTATAGGTTTAAGACGACGGTTCAGAACTGGTAGTGGCCGACAACAACTGACAGGCATTTAATGCCTCGATATTCGAACCAACGGGACGTTTCAGTACCCACTTTTTAATGACATCATTGTCGGGCTTGTCGCTTACATCATGACCCATCGAGATGGGATTGGAAAAGATCATATCGTTTCCCGTCACCTTCTCTCCGATAAACGAGGGGACTATCTGTATACGGTCGAAATCGGGCTTGACCTAGAACGAGGCAGGTCAAGGTTCGACCCTATGTTATATCGGATCACGGCGCAAAGTTAGTCTACCGAGCTCGAGACTCAGAGACCGATCGAGATCGAGGTCGGCTAAGATCGGAGCTGGGCAGGATAGAGATCGAGCAAGATCGAGGAAAGCTTACCGAGCCAAATAACGAAAAATCAAAATATCCACAACCGGGCGAGGGTCACGGCGGAAATCTCGGCACGTATCAAGAAGAGGCCGATTAATTAGCCAATCATGGGATTTCTTATTGTATTTAGAATTGTACCAAAGGTAGGATTCCCTTACTATATAAAGGGAGTCTGATCATTTGTAATACACATCACATTCACGTTACATAAATCAATATATCATCTTCTTAAGCTCTCAATACTTTATTACTCTGTTCATACTTTCCATTGAATTACTTGTTTGATTTGAGGGTGACCTAGCTCGAGGATCAAAGATAAACATCTCATTTGGCTTGCTTTATTTTTATTCAATTTGAATATCAGTATTGCATTTCTTTCAGTATATCACGTGTCCTTAAAACCACAGTATAAGTTCAATTGTTATCCGTTTTTAGGGTAAACAAAAACAAAGGGAGAAAAAAGTCAAATTTCCAAGTTAGGGATATCCTGGAATTAAAGTGTCCGAATAATGTTTTCAATTAGGTAAAGTCGGTCTAAAAAGTCTTGAAAAGAACGTAAATTGGGTCTTTTGATTACTTGGATTAGGATACTATCTCGAAATTTGATTATTGATATTAGCTATAAATTGATATAAATGTTATATCAATATTATGGTATTATTTATTCTAGAATCCTTGTTCGGAACCAAACAACTGTGGCTAGCGATATGAAATCATCACAGGAATATAATTCCCAATTGAGATTATATAGTTAGTAAAAGTTTTACTAAATTAGTTATTAGAAGAAAGTACTTTCCAAACAAATAGGCATATATTCTTTTTTACAATATCAAATAACACTCGAGCACTTATAATAAAAATTTAAGTAAAGTTGTAGAAGTATTTATGTCTTGTGAACTTTGTAAGACAGTAACACATAACAAAATTTAATAACTAAAATAGCTGAAACATTATGCACTGCTTTGGGATTAATCTCCACAAGACTAAAAAAAAATTTTAAAAACATAGTTTAATTAATATTTAATCATTCAAAAAAAATGTATCAGCGTAACGTTGAAACAATAACCACTTTATTTCTACTTCGATTAATATTATTTGAATTATAAAATTCTTAAACATCTCTTAGAAGAGATATTTAATAGTCTTAATCATAAAATATTTGCCAAAATTATTTTAAAGTTTATTCTTAAACATATAATTTAATTTATATTATACTAATTGAAACAGAAATACATATTTGAAAGTTAGTGTTATAAATAACTTCTTACTTTGCTGAAACGACAAAAAAAAGAAATTAGTTTACAAAATCAACTAATATTTGGACTTGGAAGAGATAATTTCCTTTTTCTGAAACGTCAAAAATTGTTTATACTAAGGCTCGAACCCGAAATTCTGGTGAAAAAAATTCTATCTGTCTCAACAGATAATTTTTGATGAGTCACATCTTCCTACTTTTACTTTTTAGAAAAATTTAAGAGAGGATGAATGGTAGTACTATAATTTGCACGCATGGATTAGTAAAGTTAGGAGAAAAAAGTGAAAGGAAAAAAAGAAGAAAAAAGGTAAATTACATGGGGTCCATTCTAGTTCCAAAGAAGGGGTTGGTAATCAGTTTTAACAGTTATATTTTTTATCTTTACTTTCTAAAGTTAAGAAAAAGTGAATGGTGTCATCCATATTTAAAACTGTCCATTTCCTAGATTCTTCTTAGATTTCAATTAATACCAACTTCCTTTTCTTTCCACCTCACTTTTTCAATCTTATAATTTTCTTCTTCTTTTCTTTTTTGGCATGACTATTCATACAAAATAGGTGATTTGGAGCAATAGTAAAGTTATTTTTATTAAAAAAATATTTTTTATAACTCAAAACGAAATATTCAAATTGATGTCAAAATTCATTCTTTTAAAATTATTTAATGAGTTTTGTTTACACTAATTATTTTGAATATATTTCTTTAATATTTGTAACTGATGATTGATAAGCTTGATTCAATCTTAACAAATTGAATATGATACTAGCTATTATGGGATTTCTTAAGTTAATCTTTTGACAAAGCATTTTATTAGCCTTAATGGCTTTAATTTGTAACATCCATTTGAATAGCCTTTGAATGGCTTTTAATGATTTTTAAAACGCTGCTTACAATCTGAAGTTAAAATCTTTGGATTATATATATATATTTTTTCCTATGTGTTACTTTGAGTAGTGGATGAAAAAAGTAAAAAACTTTTCTTTTCCTTTTTCTTTGTGTTAGGTTTTCTTTTATTCAACCTTTGTTGTTTCTGCTCCTAGTTTATACTAGAAGGGCTTGTTGAATCCTAGGGGATACTGCTAATTTTATCCATTACGGTGTGGGCAAAATATCCTTAAGGACAGTGTCTTTAACACGCCTCAAGCTAATTCTATTATTCTCCATAATCATCAAAATTTTCCAACAATCTTAAGGATATTTCTACATTGTTAAATATCAATTCTTATGTTTTCTAACAAAACTCAAATTGGCTAACGCGGAAGAAACATAAGCATTCTCCATTGATTCTGGAATCTCGAGAGTAATACATGACGGGTGGATAGATATTATTATTATTATATTGGTATCGCATGCCGTTGTTGCTGGTTCTA